GATGGATGGATGGATGGATGGTTGATGAATGGATAGAGTGATGGATGGAGTGATTGATGGATGGATGGATGGATGGATGAATGGATGGATGTCCAGGCAAAAATGAAGCTGTTTTGACCAGTGAATAAACTTATAATAAATGTGACTTTGAAATGTTTTTTTCCTCTTCATGATGCTTTTTTTGACTGATGCAACTTTTACTCTGGGACAACTTATACGCCAGAAAATACGGTAGCGTTACTTATTAACGGTTAGGCCTTCAAGTCAGAAGAAGCTAAAAGGAAAACAAATGTGAAATAAAAGAATAAAAGCAAATTAAATATTCTACATGCTGGTGATTATGGATCCGATGGAGCTCAAACACCTAACAAAAAGACAATCGCTGCATCCTAACAGATTGCAATCAGACATTTAAAAAAAAAAAAAAGAGAATCTCACTCTGAGGATCTCTCTGGAGATGTAGGCGATCCAGTCTTCCTTTAACTGGTTCCCCTTGGTGTTCTTCACCAGATCTGTGATGGAACCGGCGCCGCAGAACTCCATCACCAGCTGCAAAACAGAAGAGTCGTCAGAAGAAAAGACCGAGTGTTGGACTAGACGAGATGAATATGCTAAAACGTTAGCGTTTAGGAGAACACGGTTACTTAAAGATCACAACAGGGCAGCTGCCTTTACCACCCCCACAACTTTTTAAATTCTCAACAGGATCCGAGGACTCACCCAGAGTTGGTCATCGTGTCCTGGGGGGCTCTTTTTAATGAAAGCACCATAATACGTGGCTATGTTTCTGTGGTGGGAATACTTCTTGAGCATATTAATCTCCAGTTTAATTTCCTCCTCTTCATCCTACGGGGACACAAAAACAGACAAACACGGGACGTTTGTTCGCGCTTGAACACAAGAAATCTGCTGTTAATCATCTGCTGATAATAAGTGCAATTTCATTTAATTAGCTGCCGTAGCTGGGGTCACGGCGAATACCAAGCTACGAGTCGACACCCCGGTGAAACTTTGCTGCCATCTTGCTTCCCCCCCCCCCCCCCCCCCACCACATAAGAACTACGACTGCAGACGTTTTGTCAACGGACAAACGATCCTTTTGTTTGGGTATTAATGACGCACGACTGAGTCACGTTGGGGAGTTCGTGAAGTCGCATCGATGGTAAACCTGCAATACACTTCCATTAGCAACCAGCTGACCTCATCTTTTTGGAAACCAAAACTCCCGTCTAAACAGCAATTCATGTCCTGCTGGTGCAGGATTACTGAAAGAGCCGGTGATAAACCGGCGGTAAACGAAACGAGGAACAAGAACGGGGAATCCGACGCGTTCGTGAGCGATAAAAACCAATTCGGCGAGCCGATGCGACGATCGCGCCACGTTTTAGTCTCTACGGGGAATGACCTTCAGTGCAAATAACGTCCACCGTCAACTCTTCAGGAAAAGGTCACAACTCCCTGCTTGCACCAGACAGAAACTTGACGGTGATTAACGGCGACGAACTGATTGAAGACGCGCGGAGATCAGACGGTGAGCGCTTTTGCTTTATGGGTGGGTGACCTCGCTTTTAGATTTTAAAAACGAAGGCGTGGAGAAGTGGTTCTTTCTTTGCAGTTTTAGAGTTTTAACAGGACGTGCAGCAAAACGTGGACAAAGGCTACGCTCGGTAATCACCAATAGCAAAATGGCAGTTGGCCGTCTGCGCAGGCGGCCATACTGCTGCTGCATGACTCGTTTGAGTTGACGTAAGCCTTTCTGTTGAGCACATACACATTCCCGACTCCCCCACCACCACAACCACAACCAGCACGCCATCCAAGCCCGCTCTCTGCAGCGCAGCTGTCGAGTTATCACACTCCCGACTGTGAAGGCTCCGCCGCCACAAGTCACATGGCGCGGGAAAGAAAAGAGCCGAACGGTGATGTGTGCCAGAGAGAAAGATAAAGGGAGGGAGGCTGAGGGTAATGGAGAGAAACAATGTGAGGGTACAAAAACACCCACAGAAGGCTGGACTTATCTCCGCTACTAGGTCACACTTTAATCTTTACTACATGTCAAGAAGACAAGTTAAACACAGTTTACTGGGATATTAATTGGATTTTTTTTTTTTTATGAAAAAATGCTTTTTTTTTTAAAGATCAAGTGTGAACCAATGTCTTAGTGAATACAACCAATATAATCTATATTAAAACATGACAAATAAGTAATAAATTAATCAAATACAGAATTTATAGTGTCTTTTTGGGAGTCCTAAAAGCCAAAAGTATGTCCAAGTAACCTGATGCATGCTCAATAATCCAGGTAGAAAAATCCAAAAAAGTTAAATCTGGTCCTCTGGACATTCAAAAAAAAACAAAACAAAGCAAAACAACAAAAAATGTCGAAACGTTTCTACATTTTTTGTTGTTTTGCTTTGTTTTTTTTTTTTTTTGAATGTCCAGAGGACCAGATTTAACTTTTTTGGATATGTCCAAGTAAGGTCGCACAGTATTTAAAACGCATGAAATTGCATTCATATTGTTGAAAACCGCATTATTACTGTCATTTCCAGACTATAAGCCGCCACTTTTTCAAAAGCTTTGGCGATGACCGTTTCCTCTGGTATCGGATGCTGTGCAGCTGGAAGGATTTTTACTAAAACTTTTTTAGTTTTGGACAATTGTTATGATGTGTAACCATGACAACAAGGTGTTTTTTTTTTTTCAGTTTTTTGAGTTTTTTTTTTTTTTTACAACCAGGAGCAGCTGACCAACACCTCAAAAGCTCAAATAATACCTCAGCTACAGCCCCAATTATCAAATGAGTTGAAAAGGAGGAGTCGTATATGCATTCTCGTCTCCTTGCCGGCTGTGCTCGGATGCCTGACCACTGAGATCCTCGAGCTGGCAGGAAACACGACTCGTGACAGCAGAAGGACAGGATCGTCCCCCGGCACCTGCAACCGGCTGTTCTCAGCAACGAGGAGATCGGCAGGCTGCTGGGAGGAGTGGCCTCCACTCAGGTTCTTGAGATGGCTCTGAGAGGAGTTTTACCCAGCATTCAGGCGGTCCTGATGCCCGGAGGAACTGAGAGGCCAACTTAGGTCTGGGTGGACAAAATTGACAGCATCTGCGGCCAGTTTCTTCGGATCCGCTGTGGGACGGACCTTTACAAGAGATCCTTCCTGCCTACAGCCATCAGTATCTATAACCTCTTAATGAAACCAGGATAACAGCTATAACAACAACATTTAATTTCCCTTTGCAATCAATAAAGTATTTTTGAATTTAATTTAACTTAATTGAAAACATTTAGCCTCATTACACCTGGGTGCTCACATAGCTGTCCAATACACATCTCTCTTGGGGGGTGGATCCTCATAACTCACCTGCAATGTTTCCCCTACCATTAAGCAAGCAGGGCGCCCCGCCCCGTCAACAGAACCGAGCGCACTGCCTACCGAACTGAACACCCACCTACCCTATCGACAACAACCGGCACTGACGTAGCGCTAAGCTAGCGGCACGCAACAGAGGCACGCTAGCTAAAAAGCTAGAGGTAGCGCTCAGATTCCCTCACGCTGAGCCGTCTACAACCCTTCTCCCCACTCGAAAACTTTTGATACAAACAGTGCACTACACAGACGTGTCCCCCCCACCCGTTGACAAAAATCACGGAAGAGATAAGCACCCAGCCAAGGCAAGTAATGTAGGGGAAACACTGACCTGCATAAAAAATCTGACCAATGAAATTACCGAACAGGTCACAAAGTTGGGGAAAACAAAGTTCCCCCTTCCCCCTATAGATAGTTGTGACATAGACAAATGCGGCCAATATGTGTACTTTTTTTTTGTGGGTATGTCTTATATTTGAGTGCGCTCTATAGTCTGTAAATTATGGTATATTGAGCAGCTGAACAGAGTCAAAAAAAAAAAAAAAATAAATCCCAACGTAAAACTAGTGTGTCTCTAATCAGTGGTAGTAAATTCTTATCAATAAACAAAGAGACTTCATAAAAATAATTTAATTTTTGGTCGTTGGGATGTCAGACAGCAGAGATGAGTGTTTGGATGTGAGGATGAGAATCTGGGTCAGATAAAACCCAGTATGAGAAAACTGAACCTCAGAACTGATTAGATTAGAGTCAAGAGCTGAATTAACTTATTATACCACACATTAAGTGTAAATAATATTTTAGTTTTGGGCCAAATGAGGTTCTATCATTGAAAAGAAACTTGGAAACTGAACGTGACAACAGAAAAAGAATTAAATTAGATGCCAGTACATAAAAATAAAAACAATATATGATGCAGTCTGGCGAGTCTCGTCTAGTTATAAATCATGTCAATACACGAGTCTATGATGCACAAGTACTAAAAATGATTTTTATGGCAGCTGTCTGGAAAAATTACCGCCTCGTTTTTGTCTTAAAGGCACAGAACCGGTATCAGCTGCGTGTAAAGTTGATTCAGTTCGACATAATGAACAGTAATAACCATGTGTACGATGGGAACGTTTAATAAATGATGTAGCAATTTCAACATAATATAAAACCTCCTGGTGCCCCTTTGACATGTTTCTAGATAATCCGACTACACGTATTTACTTTTAGTAGTGAAATGATCTTTATTTAGACGATGGGTTGCGCCACGCCACACAGGCACTCCTGCAGATTTGTCACACCGTACAGGTAAGAGTTGGGCAACACGTCTTTCAGATCATCAGTCGAGCCAGTTTCTGATTCATGGCTCATGTGAGGAGTGGCAGCAGACAAGTCGGGACGGAGGCGCTGCGTTCTGTCAGCTTCCTGTGGAAGGCTGTGACACAAAGCGTGGCTGAAAACAGGGAACAGGAAGCTCCAAACCGCAACATAAAACGGCTGTTAGTTGTGGCAAAAGAATAAAAAATGGGACATCAGAAAGTGACAGGCTTGATCCAGATTAGACTTTAAAATAGGACCTAAAGCTCAATTTTCATTTATTTAACTTCAAGTTCTGAGATTAAAGAAGTTCATTTAAAGTAAAAAAAATTAAATTAGTTTTCTCTGCAGGGTAGCTGGACTCTCCCTTAGAGAAAGGGGAGAGGCTCCAGGAGAGACACGGAGTAAAACAGTTGCTCCTCCATCCAGAGGCTGAGAAGGTTCGGACATCTGGTCAGGATGGACCTTGGACCTCCTTAGGGAGGCATGTCTAACTGAGACGACACCCCAAGGAAGACTCAGGCTATGCTAGAAAAACTGTCTCTCGGCTGACCTGGGAACACCTTAAGAGCTAGAAGTGGTGGCTGTGGAAAGAGATGTCTGGACCTCCCTGCTCAAACTGCTGCCCCACCCCCAAGACCGGACTCCAGAGCAAGCGGCAGATGATGGAGTAATGGACGGGTTCATTCATTGGTGGACTGACTGACCACGTTCTTATCTGAGTGACAGGAACTTTTCTGTTAATGTTGGTAATATTTTAATATGCTTCAGTGCCTCTTTCCTGTGGGGTTCCGCAGGGCTCGATTCTTGGACTCCTTCCGTTTTCACTGTATCTGCTCCCTTTGGGGTCTATCCTGAGGAAACGTGGTCTTTCGTTTCATTGCTATGCTGATGATTGTCAGATTTATCTGCCCTTAAAAACCAAATAGTTCTTGCTCCAGTCACCGTCTGTTAAACTGTCTTGATGACATCAAGGCATGGATAGCTTCAAATTTTTAAGTTTCAACGATCAAAAAAACTGAAGTCATTGTGTTTAGCCGTAGCTCTACTGCTGTCTTTGTTCCTATAAACCTCGACTCTCTTGAGCCATATCTTAAGCAGTCTGTTACAAATCTTGGGATGTGCTGGTGAAGATTCTCAGTCATCCAGGACATGATGAATTCAAAAAGCGTTCAATACAAAAACAACTGGACTTTATTTGTAACAGAAAACGTTTTGCTCCTCATCCGAGGAGCTTTCTCAATTCAAAGAGCAGATCTCTCACTCTCTGCTCTTTGAATTGAGAAAGCTCCTCGGATGAGGAGCGAAACGTCTTCTGTTACAAATAAAGTCCAGTTGTTTTTGTATTGAACGCTTTTTGAAATCTTGGGATGGTTTTAGACTCTGACTTTAAGTTTAATAAACAGATTAACTCTGTTCTGCAGAAAAGCTTCTTCCAGTTAAGGCAGATAGCTAAGTTTAAGTCCATGTTGACCAGATCTGACCTTGAAAAATAGTTCACGCCTTCATTACAACGCGATTGGTCTACTGTAACGCTCTTTATGTTGGGGTCAGTCAGGTGTCCCTTTCACGTCTCCAGCTCGTCCAAAATGCTGCAGCTCAGTTACTAACAGGAACTCATGCATAGGTTTGAGCACATTTCACCAGTTTTGTCCTCCCTTCATTGGCTCCCTGTACGTATCAGAATCGATTTTAAACAACAACTTGCAACATCATACCTCTCTGACCTACTTCGACCATATGTTCCTTCTCAAGCGCTGAGATCATCCGACCAGCTGCTTTTGACTGTTCCAAAAACCAGGTTGAAGCTCAGAGGAGATCGAGCTTTTCCAGTCGTGGGCCCTAAACTTTGGAATAATCTGACACCCTACTGAAATGCAACTTAAAGCTCATTTCTCTTATTTACCGTTCAACCAGGGAAGTGTAAATATTCTTGATGTCTTTACAGCGTCTGAGGAGCCAAGTTGTAAAGGGATCCACTAAAAACATTATTGCTGAAACAACACGTTGTTTAGGCTTACCTCTGTGACGTCCATGACCTTGATGGCAGCCAGCTGTCCAGTCTTGACATGGCGTCCCTGCAGAAAACAACAGAAGTGTGCACGTTAGTGGCAGATTCATTTCACCATTTATTAGACAAATTACATTTCCTGTGAAAATGCTTATTGTTGAAAAACAGCTGAAATTAGATCAAGTTGGCAGAAGAAAGCAGAAAGAGCACATATTTGCTGAATTAGATTGAAATAAGCAGAATTGAGCACAAAAATGAGTGAATTAGCTAAAAAAGCTGAAATTAGCTATAAAAAGTTGATGAAAAGTAGCTTCAAATGCCAAAAGAAGCTTAAACTACCAGAATAAAGTGGAAAAGCTGAAATGAACTTAAAAATGTGGAATTACCTGTAAAAGCTAAAATCAACATAAAAACATCTAAATAGCTGAAATAGCAGCAAAAGCTGAAACTAGCAGAAAGCTGAAAGGAGCACATAAGCTAAAATTAGCATAATTAATTAGGTTGAAAGTAGCAGAAATTACCATGAAAAACTTGAATTTATCTGAAAACAGCTGAAATTAGCTAAAAAGGTAGAACAATCAGCAGAAGAAAGCAGAAACATGTTTGCCCACTTAGGCTAAAAGAAGAAGAAAGTCACAAAAAGTAGAAATTATTTGAATGAAGCTGAAATTAGCAACAAAAAAAACCAGATGAAAAGTAGCTAAAAAAGCAGACGGAAGCTGAAATTACATGAAGGAAGTGGAGAGAGCACATTTTTGCTGAATTAGGCTGAAAAAGTTGAATGGAGTGCAAAAAATGTGGACTTGGCTGAAAAAAATATACAATTTGCATAAAAACATCTGAAAGTAGCTGAAATAACATAAAAGGCTGAAACTTGCAGAAATAAGCTGAAAGGATCACAACAAGCTGAAATTAGAAAAAAGAACTTAGAAGAAACACAAATGTAGTAAACAGAAATAATCTGAAAGGAGCACAAAACAGCTGAAATTAACTGAAAGTAGCTGAAAAGTATAAATCTGCAGAAGGAAGCTGAAAGAAGCTGAACCAGAACAAAATGTGAAAGGATCAGTAAAAAGCTGTAAACAGATCTAAACATGTAAAATGAGCTAAATTCATTTTCTATGATTTAAAAACATGCCAGAAAAGGCTAAATATTTCAAAAAGCTAAAGTTGCAACAATACCACAAGTCACAGCAGGATTGTCCTGAAAGAGCTGAACGTTTTGAGTCATGACTTGTTGAAATAACTGAAAACTGAGGGACGAGAATCGTACGTAAGAAAAATGAATCACAGTAGAGTGAACGCTTCATGAACATATTAGTAAAAAAAACAAAGTTCACCGAACGTTTCCACCCTCTTGATAAGGTGCATTCTGTATTTTATTATTTGTCCCTTCCTATTTAATGTGTATTTTTTTATACATTTCTTCTAATTTAATATTTTTCTCTAATCATACCCCTGTCGAGAACTGTTCCTCGCTTCGTGTACGATCGTTTGGCTACACGCGGTAAATAAACTTGTCCTCGGTGTCCAACAAGACATCTTTAAACAATTACAAAGACGGAGACAAGCGTCTCATCAACCTACGAATGTGTCCAATTGTATCAAGTTGTGTATTTTGACTTCAGATTTGAATTAAATCAAGTGAAAGAAGATTAATTGACAAAACATTAAATCAAATACAGCATTTAATGTTTCCTCTTAATTTGATATCTGTAACATTTGAACTGTGTTGGGAACTGAAAAATAAAGGTTTAATAATCCAAAAATATACCAATAAAAACATTTGCAACCCCACCCCCGGTGATATTTAACTGACGCGATCAGCTGATATTTTATACAGTTTCTGAGATGAAGCGACATTAAAAATCAGATTAATAAACAACATTCCATGTATGAGCAACATTCCCAGACTTCTGTGCTCTCCAAACACCCCCCTGCCACTCCTTACATAAACAAAGGACCAAAATAGAGGCCTCTACAACCCCCCCTCCCTTGAAGCCTGAGAGGAGATAAAGCAGGGGACATTGTTGGGCATTCCCCTTTTTCTCATGGACAGCGCTGCAGCATCTGTACTGGGCCTCAACAACACCGACATCTCCAACGCAACATTCCATACTCGATTGAAACTGTATGGATTATGACAATAAACACTACACAGGCTTGGGGGGCCCTCTCCGAGAAGCGGGGGGATGAGGGGGACACTTTACAGCGGTTTTAATCCTCTCTGCTTTGATCCAAGAGGTTAGCGTTGCAGAAACAACATGGGGTCTGACATTAGGCGTCAGCTCTTCGTGAGCCGCTGGTTCACTAGAAGAGGTCAAAGGTCAACCCAAGACCCTCAGAATGTTCATGCATCACGTGCGCTGCAACTGTCCATCAAAAGAAACTCAGCATGTGGTAAAAAAAATAGAGCCTGACCGATATATCGGTAGGGCCGATAATAAGGTCTGTCACGATAAATTTTGCTGGGCGATTAATTGTCTCAGAAATTATTGGGATAAACAATAATATTGTTTAAAATTTAACAGTAATTAGTAATTATTGTCAAATTTAAGAAGAAATGTTGGTTAATTTTATTTTGGTGTAGTACCTTTTTTAACCACTGGATGGCAATATAAGATCGTTTGAACCGAAGGATGGATAGTGAGGGAGCGAGAAGCGTCTCTCTTTAAGAAAAATGGGAGGGAGGCCCCTTGACGCGACGTAGGTCTCCCCTTTTTTTCTCCCGGTTCTGAAAATGTCGAACGCTCGGTGTAGTTCGAGCTTTTTAGCATAGAATTTGTCACACAAAGCTTTTAATTAAAAAAAATAATAATAATCAGTAAACAAGTTCTCGGCTTATTTTTGCAGAGAAAAGCAACTTTTTACACAAAAGCACAGGTTTCAACTGTGAATTTTGGAGCTTAGCTTCGTGATCGCTAACAGCTGCGCTAACAAGCCCCGCCTCCACTCGCTGTTTACTGAGATTCTTGGGGGTTGACAAAGCGCAACATTTTTCAGCCATTATATCAGTTATCGGTGATCGCATACCCCCTCCCAATATCGGTTTTGGCTCTAGTAAAAAACGCCTTTTATAAATGTCAATTTAATCTATACATCTACATCTTTAGTTTTCTTTGAATAGTTCCACCATTTTCCACATGGAGACAACCCTTTATTTGACTTTATCCAAAGCGCAGCATAAATGTGAAGAACAACGAGCAACACAATATTATGAAACGCGAGTTCAATACAGTCGTGTCAGATATTTGTTTGGCGTCAGGAAGGTGAGGTCTTGGAAGCGTTCACACGTGGTGGCTGCCTTGTGACTGACGAGTCAGATGACCACGGACACTCGTCTGAAAATACAGCGACCAATTAGATATAGACCTATCAGCTGATATTGGCCACTTAATGTGAATCTGATATGCCTGTACATATTTAATCAATTAAGAAGTAGAACAATGAAGATGCAGAAGAACCAGATTACTTGTAGTCCAGATTTTTAAGAATGCTCCGCTAGATATTTTAATGAGTTCAAGTTCTTTTAAGGGTCGTTAAATATATTTGTTATATTATGATAAAAGAAAACTATAAATTGACAAAAAATAAAAAAGGACAAGTGGTGTTGTATATATATTTATCAGTAGATCTCTGCTCGTCATCTTGTAGTCTGATTCTGTCTTAAGCAATTAGTTGTGCTAATTAATCAAAGTTGATAAATATGATTATTACCTTAACAGATACAACAGAACTGCGACAGCCGAACTGACCTGTTTGAGAGGGTTTAATCCTAGAATGAAATACGCGTTTTCTTGAGCAGGGAAAGCTGTCGTGACGTAAACTCGACTGTGTCCTTACATCTGATCTGGTACGGTTATCCAATACCCAGTGATGCCAAACATGAGGGCGCTTGCACTTTATTGGCACAATAAACCACAAGAGGAGATGGTTTGTAGTCAAGTTGAATATTGAATTCTTACTGAATAAAACTTGTTCCCTCATTTTTTTATTGTCTTTGAAACAAACTCCATGTTGTTATTTTAAAGTTAAAGGCATACAACAATAATGATCAACAATCAAATAAACCCAGTGAGCAATTACCGTATTTCCCAGCGTATAAGTCGCAGTTTTTTTTGCAAAGAACTGTCAGTCCTGCAACTTATACACCAAAGCGACTTATATACGTTTTTCCCCCCATACTCACAACGCAAGTTTTGACCAACGCTTTAAATTTCTTAGAACAGCAACAATGAGTCCTCCCGTGCGCGCTCGCTTCACTCAGCTGGTGCAGGCGGAGGAACGCTGAGAGCTAGCGGCTCCGGACGCGATGGATGGATGCATGGACGGATGCATGGACGGATGGATGGATGGATGGATGCATGGATTGATGGATGCATGGATGGATGGATGCACGAATGGATGGATGGATGCATGAATGGATGGATGCATGAATGCATGCATGGATGGATGCATGGATGGATGCATGGATGGATGGATGGACAGATGGATGGATGGATGGATGCATGGATGGATGGATGGATGGATGGATGGATGCATGGATGGATGGATGCACGAATGGATGGATGCATGAATGCATGCATGGATGGATGGATGGATGGATGGATGCATGGATGGATGGATGGATGGATGCATGGATGGATGGATGGATGGATGCATGGATGGATGGATGGATGGATGCATGGATGGATGGATGGCGCCACCCAAGCAAAATTAAGCTGTTTTGACCATTAATAAATGCAACAGATTCGCGGTGACGCATAATAAATGCGACTCGAAGCGACTTCTATACGTTCCTTCCCTCTTCGTGATGCTTTTTTTGACCGATGCTACTTGTACTCCGGAGTGACTTATATGCCGGAAAATACGGTACATTATATCTTTGGAGCCAATTAACCTTTAGAAATTCTAAGGGAAGCTCACCAAATGGGGTATATTTTGTGAAACGTGGTTTTAAACTCTTTGTCCCAGTTCTTGTCACATACCTTTGGGTCTAACAGCTAAAAGTGTTACTCATCTTTCAAATGAACTTTGACCTACTTTAAACATCACCATCCAAATGAG